GGCACCGCTAAATGTTGATACTAGTTCATATTCTGAGATTTTGCAATTTATCCTTGTTTAATCTATTTTTTGAATTGCGGTATCCCTCAATAATTTCAAAGTCTCACAATAATTTAAATTTTGTTTGCACTCAATTCTGTTTTTACGCATCTATCATTATTTTGATTTTGCGCTCATGCAGGAAGGGTACAGCATTTTTAAAACCATTATATTTTTCATTGATTATTTGTGATTTTTTTTAAATTGATTTTATTTAATTTGGTTGTAATTTGGAATCACACCGGTGACAATAATTCGCGTGTAAACAGACATGGTCATTCAAATTAATGAAGTGTGATACGTCACACGGCTTGTTTTGGTGATAAATTGAATTGTCCGCAAAGAGGTCCTGGCGGAAACTAGTACAGATGTTCCAGAGCGACCACATCAGTTTGTACGGAGATAAGGTGATGTCTATTGGCTTGGTCTTTCTTATTTATGTCGCACGGCATGTTTTGGTGATAGAAATAAATTGTCCCCAAAGAGCGTGGAACCTTTTCCAGATGTTCCGGAGCGACCACTAGTCGATGTCTAATGGCTGCGTCTTTCAAATTCATGAAGTTTGATATATCGCACGGCATGTTTTGGTGATATAAAGAAATTGTCCTCAAAGAGACCCTGGTGGAACTTTTTCCAGATGTTCTGGAGCGGTCACATCAGCTTAGCTTGTACTGAGTTTAGTCTATGTCTATTGGCGTGGTATTTTAAATTCGTGAAGTTTGATATATCGCACGGCATGTTTTAACGCTACCCCGGCGTAGTGGTTAGCATCCATACCTCTCACGCCAAAGTCACGAGTTCAAATCTCACCCCCGGACAAGTCACGAATGGCCCAAGAGCGTTAAAGTGACTATAAAAAAATGTTTTGACGCTGAATAGAAATTAATTTTAATACTAAATAGAAATTTACGCATCGGAGCATTCCAGAAGATGGTGAAGAAGATCGGTATTCGTGGCTCCTCTGGAAAACTTTCTTGTGTGGTGGGCTCTGTATTGCTTGGTAGCTTTGTTTCTGCTTTCCTGGGCCTCTTAAGATAGTTGCCCAATGGGTATTAGAAACGAAGAAATCACTTTCGCCCCGTGTATGAGCACTTTATGAACAGACACGGGGAGATAGTACCATGGATATAGATCGACTAGTTTACGAGCCGTTTCTATTCCGTAGCTTTCGAATCTCTCACAGTTAAATTCGTAGCCTGATGATAGTATAAGAGTTATTAGTTGAATACACATTTATCCAAGTATTCATATGATTTATTACCTGACGTTAATTTCCAACATGAGGGAACTACGGAAAAACAAAAGTGAGGTGTGCTCCGGGGATGCTCTGCAACTTTTGGCCATCACAGATAACAACGGCGAGAACAGTGATATCGACGAAGATTCGTACAATTTGAATCGGAACGTAATAAACATTAAACATGAATGATGTTGGTATTGTTTATTGACAAAATCGAAAAATATTTAAAGTACATAATCAATTCAGTCAATGGTCGTTTGGGGGTGGTCTGGTTTTGATACCGAGTCATTTTGTTAGTCACTAGAAATAACCCAGGTTGCTTGGTTATCCATTTGTATGCCTCTTTTCACACCTACTCGATAACAGTCCCGTGGTTTCACAAAATCGCCATTTCAAATTCTGAAAAGTGACAAGTTTCAATGCAAGTATTTCGGTTAAGGGTGAAGTGGGGGCGGTCTAGTTCCTTCACCATTTCATTGCATTTTCTTGTACTTTCAATTGCTCAAAGAATGGCCTGCTCGTTTTTGCCCGTTTAGAAGTTATTGGTATTGGAAATTGGGTAACTTTTCAAATATTAATGATAGCAATTTACAGTCTTCTAAAAAGATATGTAATTTGCTATTTCTAACATCTTTGTACAACGTGCCAAACATGTAGAAATATTATAGAAAAAGTTACAGATACAAAACGGATTTTAACAATGTCTCCACAATATAACCTTTATATCTCAGCAGTTATAAGAGCTAGAAAGTTATAGTCTTGAGCAAAGCTGTTCACAGTAATGTTCTTTACAGCTTTCCCGAACACAATTATTCATATTAAAAAAAAAAATTGATCTCACTTTTAGGTGGATTAATCTTTAATTTTCTTTCACCATAAGAAGGAGTGTTGTAACCCGAGAAACATCTCAGAAGACACCTAGTACCTTTACTCAACCATTTCAGCGTAAATAAAAAAGCGCGTGTTTTTAAACCCTTGGTACCACTTTGCGGTGTAGTGGTACGCGTGATTACCTCTCACCCCAGCAGGTTTGTTCAATCTTAGTCGGCGCCGCCGGGATGTTCTGAGGCATAACATCTCTGATCACGCCGGGAAGTTAGCTCTTTGTTTCCTCTGTTCGGGACCTAACACCACTACAACCAGTTATTTGATCTATTGTAGTATATCTCGTGTCCGTTGTATAGAGCATGTCGAGCAAAATTAAGGAATGACACCGATAATGACCATGCATCAGAACCCGAGTCTTAACCACTTCAAACTAGGGAACAACGAATGGAAGATTAGGAATCACATAGACGAAGAACAAATTAACTCATTTTTCCTTGTTTCAAGATCATTCTCGGTGGACAAAGCCGAGTCTTGCCACTATCAACAATTATGGGGCTAGTAAAGCCGTTGGTCCCGGTTCATGCGTTGAAGGATCGATATGTAGGGTCCAGGTGTGGGAGCTGCCTCCCTGGCGTTGGTAGCAATCGTGATCAGCACGGAAAACAAGATCGATGGAAAACAAATCAAGGAGAATCCTAACCGAATACCCTACCCTAACCTCCAACTTCGTAGCACTTATGAGGGTGTCGCTAAGTCGGTGACCTCTCGTTAGGTAAGTAATACATCAGCATTTCTTTCCCTATCCCTATGATTCATCCATAAAATCGTTCGCTGAATCCTAAAATGTATTCAAAAAATCTCAGTAGGATAGTTTTCAAGATACAGCTACAAAATAAAATTTCACATGAAAATCGGTTTTTTTCTTCTAAAATACAAATATCTCCAGTTGTAATGAAGTTATCTCAATTATTATAACGCTAAATTAAAGGTGACATTTTCTTTCGATCAGCTGAATACAATTTGTCAAGGAGATTAGTGGTATTATTGTTAATTAATAGTTTGTTGATTTCAGCTAAGTTTTTAAGCAAGAATAAATGCAATAAAAATGTTTTGATTTTTTTTTATCGATTTAGGGGGGGAAATACAAGTACATAACACGTCAAAAACTCGACGATTTTCGGAATTGATTTTTTGTGAGTAAATGAAACAACGCAAACGTTTGGGGTTTTTTGCATTAAATTGCTTAAATGTTCCTCTACATTTGAGATTTTTTTCATTGGTGTGCGACCTCTGGGGCTCCTTGGGGTCACATCGGAAGGAGGTCGCCTCCAGTGGGGATTGGTAATTGGCAAGCGTTCTAGAGACTTGAAAAATGGACAAAACTTACTTTTATCAATTAGTCCTTATTTAGAAAAGATTTGTGTTCTATGTGAACCTCGTAAACAAAAGAAAAAAGATTTAAAAATTTAGAAAAAAATAACTGAAAAAAAATGATTTTTTTTCCACCTTAGGCAGACCAGAAAATTATTTATTGTTAACTTTTTCATGATATCAGTGGTTCACATAGAGTAAAAATCTATTTATTTTAATATGCGCCAGGTTTCAAGTCATTTGGATGAGAACTTTTTGAGTTATCTTTCCCGCCAATTTGGAAAACACCGTTTCGAGAAAAACGCGTTTAAAGTTTTGGGTTGTGTAAAAACATGATTTCTGGAACTTACGGTTAATCGGCGATACTGGGGCCATAGATCACTCCTTCCTCGTGCTCGTAGCATTTTTTAAAAAATTTTAAAGTAAAATATAAAAAATCGATAAAAAAAATTTGATTTGTATTGCAAAATTCTATGTAAGTCTTTGTGAATTTTTAATTTCTTCTTCTTCTTTCCTTTATTTAACGTCGGTCTCTGTTCCGCAATCTATTTACGGCAATCGAATGTAAAGGAAGGCAGCTTTCACACCTGCTTAGGATATCGCACCCATTCAAACACACATGGGCTGGGACCAACAGCTATACTTCCCTTCCGAAGGAAGACGTGACCAGATTTTTTTTAATTTGAAGTAAAACTTTTTTTTTAAGTTTTTTTTTTATCCTACTGAGATTTTTACTGACTACATTTTTGGATTCAACGTACGAGTTCAAATATGATATAAGCTAGTGTTACAGAAAAACATTAGGGCAGAAGTTAGGTCGATAGCGTGTCCAAAATCTCTAGAGCCATGAACTGTAATGGAGTATACGTAGTTACGAAGGTTGCCAAGTAACCAGCAAGCGCGTTTATTGCCATTTTTGCAATATGAAACTGATATGCGACTAATACCGTGCCGATTCAAATTTCGGACACTTAAACTCGAATTTCGGACACTTTGAAAAGTTGATTATCTCGGTCGAATATGATCCACATGTCTTGTAAATTTTAATTTTTTTTTTGACTAGTGCCCTCCACGATCATCTAACATTATTACTTTGTTTCTAACTGGATGTAATATTTAATTAAAAATGAAAGTGTCCGAAATTTGAATCGTCCGAAATTTGAATCGGAACGGTATAAAGTTCGGAAGCCCTGTTATAAATTTATATTGTAACATGGGCGATCAACTGACAATTAGTGGACTTGTTACGCACACAACGGTCGTGAACAAAAACTGCGATTTGGATAAGATAACCAATTAAAAAGCCTTGCTAATGAGTTCAAGATTTATTGCTTTATGTACACGTAAGCTGAGGTAGCATTCGTCAGCTTATTAAAGAAGTAATAAATTATGATGATAACCTATACATTATCTTATCGGTCTATTCGGTATTACCAGAAGAGCATCATTAATTTCCTTTTACAAACGACGCTGTGTTGTTGGACTAATTCTAGTTAAGCTCACAATCTGAGCCATGTCTACTGATTGTTTCACTCTTGATTGCTTGTTTTCTTTATCAAAATTAGCAACCAGTCAAATATTTCAGCTTGCATTGGAATAAATATGGGGAATTAAATAGCAACACCACCGTCTATTATATGTGGGCAGAACTTATACTTTCTGTTACGGATGCAATTAAAGTTTCAGCAGTTGGTGGTCCAACAGTTTCCGCCGTAGGTACACCAGGAACTGTTACAGTTGTAACTTCAACAGTTACAGTGGAGCCAGGAGTTGGAGCCGTAGGAATTGTTGGTGATGGCGTTGGTGCCACTGGAATTGAAACATCAGGAGTGACCGTTGTGATCTCAGTTGGTGCAGTTGGTACGGTAGTAATTTCTGGAGCAAGGGTCGTTACAGGTGCTGCTGTTGTGATTTCTGGAGTAACCGTAGACGGGATTGCTGGAATTGAGGTAGTGGTCTCTGGTACCGTTGGACTTGGAGTAGGGGCCTCTGGTACCGTTGGACTTGGAGTAGGGGCCTCTGGTATCGTTGGACTTGGAGTAGGGGCCTCTGGTGCTGGTGTTGGTGCTGGTGTTGGTGCTGGTGTTGGTGCTGGTGTTGGTGCTGGGGTTGGTGCTGGGGTTGGTGCTGGCGTTGGTGCTGGGGTTGGTGCTGGCGTTGGTGCTGGGGTTGGTGCTGGGGTTGGTATGGTGGTGGTTGTTGTAGCTGAGCCACCCGTACATGATGATACTGGCAAATTACATTTGGCTATTCCCGGAAACTCACATCGCTGCAGCGTTGTTGCGAAATGTTGATTGATCGGGCATGACATCAAGTGTGCCCAACCTAAGTTGCACTTGTAGAACAAACAACAATCTACCTCATGCGCAAAATGAGTAGGATTATTTGGATTTTCATTGGTTGGGCATCTTTCTGGTGTCCATATAGGATTATTTGCATTAATCAATGCAAAAGCACTTATCAAGAGCAATATAGAACTCTTCATTTCTATTTTATAGTTTGCACTCAACCCCCGGGGTTCACTACCTATTTCAGACTTATACTGATAAACTGTTCGCAGCTGAATTTGTAAACGTCTTTTATAGCTATAATCCAATTTCTTATCATTATTGCTGGAAAGAGATATGAGCATATCTGGGGACTGAATACATGCTTACAAATATTCGTCATAATCCGCTTCAGATTGATAATCAAATGCGACCATTCACGTTCTTTTTTCATAAAAATGTAAATGTTAATATTTAAGCGAGCAATGATAATCATCAACATCACGTGAAATAACCATATGGTTTTATCTTGCTCGAGAACAGTTTTGATATCCTTGCGTATTATATTGCTTCATATATGCTCATAAATGACCTATGCAGCTTGACTTGATGCGGAATTTATGGAAATCCCCAAAGTAGAATGTTTTCGTATCTATACGGGAGCTGTGGCTAAAATGAACATACACACCAAAAAATTAATTTTGATATCACATCAAAGTGGATGCACTTTAATCGTATCAAAAATATGATGTAATATTGCTTGCCAAAAAGGACAAAATTATCATTAATATAGTGCATTAACTGACGTTACGCTGCTTTTACTGCATTTGTTTAATTTGGTAATTTTGGATGTAATATTAAAATTTATTTATTTTTGCTGTGTAGGGAGTACTCTCACACTAATGATTACAAATTCTAATCTCATTCCGGACAAGTAAAGAATGTCCTAAAGTATTAAAGTAACTGTAATAGTCATAGGGGAGGTGGGGGTAACATTGACAGGCGGGATAATGTAAAAGAAAGTGCTTCAGCGGGAACCTTCCGCAAGTATCTCCAGCCAAGAAACAAGCTCTCCTGTGTTTTTTGCTGATGTCACGGAGGCAACTCCAGACAGTTTAACACTCCATCGTTTTGAACCATCTTAGTTTCTTGTGCAGGACCCTGCCCTTTGGTTCAGTGAGGGTTAGAGCGCGTTCTGCCAGGTTGGTCGAGGCAGATTTCATTTGTGAGTGAGTGATGAACATTGTTATGTGCAATTCACTTTTAAAGGTGCGTTCCATATTTCATCACATGTAGTTCCAAAGAGCCTGAATGAAATGTGGAAATGAAGATACGATATGAAGGAACATTGATACTAATGGTATAAAACACAAGTAAATTCTTCCAGAAATAAGTTAAGATAACATATTGAAAAATGTTTTAATTGTCAGTGAACAAATGTAACGTTGCATTGAAATACTTTAAATCGTGTTAAATTTAAATGTTCCCTCATTTCACATCCGTTGAACCATTCTGAACGGCCATCCCGAAGAGGTTATATCACATCATTGCTAATAATGTATATATCTATATCTTTTCCGGTACCATGGAGTCGACAAGGTAATAGTATAAGGAGAACCGCAAAATGAAGCATATACGATACGAAAATGGAATGATGCTCGTGTTACGGTTTTATAGAACGCAACTAGGAACTCAAGATAATCATACTAAAAATGTGGACGTCAATATATGGTGCATCAAATCAGAAATGACATGGGAGATTTTCAGGAACTATCAGTGATGCAGAGAAGGACAACGAGCTCACAAATAGACACGACAATTGGTCAGAAGAGTGAAGAAACAGCGAAAGTTGGTGAGATCGCTTTAAATTAAAGTCTGGAATGTGCAAAAATTGGTCAACTTCAAATTGGTGTATTTCTGTTAAAAATGCATAAAAAACCTGAAATGCTGCATTTGGAATTTGAGTGTATGATGCTATGTTGGTTGGTTGCTATGATGAGTTTTCATCGTTTGCTCTCCAGTTTTCAAAATGACGTCCAAGCAAGACGAGCAGCGTGTCAAAATTTTGCTCGAGAATCCGACGTTCTCACACGCCAAGTTGGCAAAATTGCTGGATGTGGCCAAATCGACCGTGACAAACGATTTAAAAGTGTTCGGGGAGCGTCTGTCGACCACCAGGAAGCCTGGAAGCGGCGGCAATGGTAATCCGGACGTGGCAGTAAGGACGAAGAAGGTGGCGGTGAAATATAATATTCCTATCAAATCCTAACCTCTCCATCCGGAACGTCGCTGGCAAGCTCAATGTCTCCCATACTACTGTGTAGCGGGCCAAGAAACGAGCCGAGATGTCGACGTTTAAGAATGTGAAGGTGGCGAACCGAGATTAAAAACAAAACACGTCGGCAAAGCAGCGGTCCCAAAAGCTGTATACGAATCTGCTCACAAAGTTCTACTGTGTCGTCATGGACGACGAAACTTATGTGAAGGCGGATTCAAGCAGCTTCCGGGGTAGGAGTTATATACCGCATCAGGAAAAGGGAAGGTGGCTGAAATTTTCAAAACCATCAAACTATCGAAGTTCCCGAAAAAATATCTCGTCTGGCAGGCCATATGCACGTGTGGTCTAAAAAGCGGCATTTTCATTACTACGGGAACCATCAATCAAGAGATCTACGTCCAGAATTGCATGAAAAAGCGGCTGCTACTATTCCTAAAGCAACATAATAGACCTGTGCTGTTCTGGCCGGAGTTGGCGAGCTGCCACTATGGGATAAAGGCAATCGAGTGATACGATGCGAACAACGTGGTTGTGGTACCCAAAGACCACAACCCTTCCAACACATTCCTCGTTCTGCTAGCGAATGAGCAACATCAGGGTCTGTTGTCTCGTCACAAGGCATAGCTTTGAAAGTGTTTTTTTCACCGCGAAACATTATTTTCCGCAAAAAGTTTTTGTGCCTCAGGTGACTCGCGCATTTCTGGAGGAAGCAGCCGATCCTGGCGAAGCCTACGGTCGGACTGTCCACCTTTAAAACCCGCTTCGACGATATCGAAATTCGGCATACGGCAAAACACACGGACGGTGTGTACAACTGGAAACTATAACCAGCAGAAAGCAGTGAGCCACCGCACGGACGGTGTGTACGACCGGCATCTATTGTGGCAGAGCAGCAACAATATAAGCAGTAGAAACGGTAAGGGCAAATAATAGCACGTATCTGTTTTTTGTATACCCATTCCTCTGACTGTTTGCTTGTGAATCGTCTGTCTCTCCCCCAGTGGAATCGTTCCACATAGGGTGGTTCTTTAATAAAAAAATAATTACTTCTTAACGAAAGTTTTCATTTTCAATTTCGTATGGATGAAGGACAGGGGGGCGTCAAGCCTCCCAATGATAAAGTAAGAAAGCGTCATTACCAGGCGTCTTCTGCTTCGCCTTGGGTTGTCTACTTTCGGCAGAAAGAGAAAGCCCTAAACTTCTTAGGGATTAAAAGAACGTTGACGCGTCGTTTCCCGGGGACCGAATTTCATCAGGTCAATCGGAACAAACTGCGTATAACTGCACTCACATATAAAGTCGCAAATGACATTGCTGACGACGAAGGTTATAACGAAGAGTATTACGTCTACATCCCATCTCGAGATGTGGAGATAGACGGCGTGGTCTCTGCAGTGAGCCTGACGTGTGATGACGTCATGGAAGGTATGGGGCGCCTTCAAAATGCTGCAACATCTACCGTGGACGTTCTGGGTTGCAGGATATTGTATTCAGCGACCACGGTAGATGGTCAAAAGACTTATTCCCCTTCAGGCTCACTACAGGTGTCTTTCGCTGGATCGGTTCTCCCAAAGTTTTTAGAAATTGAAAATGTTTTTTTCCCGGTGCGACTTTTTGTACCAAGGGTATATAATTGTACCAACTGCAAAAAGTTGGGACACACAGCTGCTTTTTGTGACAACAAGCCCCGTTGTGGCAAATGTAGCCAAAACCACATGGAGGGTGCTTGCCAACAGGAAGCAACTAAATGTGCTTACTGTGGCAAAGAACCTCTTCATGCTTTGCAGGACTGCCCCGCGTACAAGAAACGTACCAACAATGTGAAGCGTTCAATAAAAGAACGCTCCAAGCTGACGTTTGCAGAAATGGTTAAGTTGCAAAATGGAACCTCTGTTTCGTTGGCATCAGCCGCTCAAAATGAAAACACTTTTGAGATTTTGTCTTCCGATGAACTGGACTCTGACATAGCAGATGAGAGTGAGTCTCCGGAGGTACACGCCCCCGGTAAAAGGAAGCCGACTAGCTCCCCGGGAGTGCGCCGGAAAAAAAATAAAACCACTCTCAAAAGCATGCAAAAATCTGAAGGTAGCGGGGATTCATTGAAAAACCCGAACAAATCGGTAATTGCTGCTCCATCTGATCCTTGCTGCAGCTTTTCCACCCCGCCGCTACCTAATAAAGGTAATCGTAAGAGGTTACCAAAAATAAACACCACGTCTACTCGCAATTCAAAGAAAACTCTCCCGTCCAAGCGAGGAAAGATTAAATTTAAGGACATTGTGGATAACATTTTGAATGCCCTCGGCTTTCTCGACGAATCGCCACTTCGAGGGCTTATTGACCTGCTTGTTCCTATAGTCGGAAACTACTTCAAGCAATTGACTGCATCATGGCCCCTCATTGGTGAATTCATATCTTTCGATGGATAATTCGTCGAGTGAGGATCAAGATATGATCACTTTATTACAATGGAACTGTCGTAGTTTAATACCTAAATTAGACTCGTTCAAGTATTTGATTCACAATTCTGATTGTGATATATTTGCACTCTGTGAAACTTGGCTTTCTTCTGAAGATGAACTAAACTTCCACGATTTTAACATTATCCGCCTGGACCGAGATGATTCATATGGTGGCGTACTTTTGGGGATCAAAAAGTGCTACCCCTTCTATAAAATCTCAATCCCAATAATTTCAGGCATTGAAATTGTCGCTTGCCAAATAAATGTGAAGAACAAAGATCTTTGCATAGCTTCTGTATATGTCCCTCCTAGGACTTCCATAAACCGCCGTCAGCTTTGGAGTTCAGTTAATATCCTTCCATCTCCAGTTCTAATACTGGGCGATATGAACTCACACGGTACTGGTTGGGGCGAATCATACGATGACAATAGAGCGGGTATTTTCTATGATTTGTGCGACGATTTCAACTTGACTATCTTGAACACTGGTGAAGCAACACGTATAGCAAACCCTCCTGCTCGA